TCCCAGTTGTCTTCACGTACCTGGAGTGGGAAAAGGAAATTTTAGGGCACTGGAAGCCTCAAGGAGGGAAAGAAGGTGGGGGATTTTCGAATAGGGCCTCTGGGTTAAGGTTTCTTTCTGGGCTTGTGGGAAGCTCACTTGTGGTGGAAGTCTATGTGATCTTTGGTTTCTATGTGTCTGGGGGAAGACAGGGCTCCTTACCTAGTCTGGCAGTATTCTCCCTTCTCCACGAGCAGTGGGTGGGGCCGGAACACAAGCTCGATTTCTCCACCTGGCTCCGGGGGACTTGGGGCCCCAGGAGGGCTTGGGGGCCCCAGGGTTCCCCCTCCCAGAGTTCCTCCCCGGTCACCAGAGTCTTCAGAACCAGCACCCCCACCCACCCCACCAGTGCCACCTCCCCCTGTCCCTACACTGCTCCCCCCTGCGCCCCCTCCACGGGGTCGCTTGGGAGCAGGGCCTGGGGCCGAGTCAGGGGCAGAGTCTGAGCTCACGTCCTCTCCATCCCCCTCTCCCTCCCCAGGCTCTCCTTCCCCCCCACTCATCGTTGTGGTCTGATCTGACCCAGGCATCGGCCGCCTCACACGCTGGGCCCTGTAGAAGCAAGTGGTTGAGATTAGAAAGCATGAAGAATAAGGGGTTTAGATTTCGAACTTCAGTGTGTTAAGAGATCAGGCAAGTCTTAATGATACCTAATACTTACTAAACACTAGCTACAGGCCAAACACCCTGCTAAGTGTTTTGCCCTGATCGTCTCATCCTATGAAGCAAGTAATTGATTATACTACATCTGTTACGTGGCTGGGAAAAGCGAGGCTTAAAGAGGTTAAGGAACTTGTTTAAGCTCATAGGACCTCACTTCTCAAAGTGTGGTCCAAGAAAGAGTAGCATCAGCATCACCTGGGAGCTTGCAACAACACAGAATCTTAGACCCAACTCCACACGTACTGACTCAGAATTTTCATTTTTACCAAGACCCTCAGGTTATTTGGAAACACATTAAAGTCTGAGAAATGCTGGCCTAGGAGATGATTTAATTCCCAGCAGTATGAATCAAGATTTTATGTTCAAAATCACTGCTGTTCTAACTTCTAGAGAGTCAGAAGGCAAAGCTATTTTCTTCTTATGAATAGTAGCACCAGTTGCTTACTAAGAAGCTGCAGTTTACATCCATGGCTTCCAGGCCTGACAGCCAGGCTGTAGTCAGCTCCTAGGAGGCTGAGGCTAAGGGTTATGGTTACTCGGCTGGCCAGCAGCAAAGCCAGTACAGCGAGTCTGACCCATGGACCTGTCCCACCAGTTCTGCTGCCCGCTCTCCCGGCCTCCATACCGGTGCATGGCCTGCATGCGCAGCCCCTCCTCGATGCTGGAGCTGAGTGCCTGCTGGTTGTGCAGGCGGCTGAGGCGGATGAGCACTCGGTCTTGGTGGGCCTCGTATTCCTCCCGGCTGGGATAGATCTTAGAGATCAGGGCGTCAAAGTTGGGGTCTGGCCGCAGGGACCGCTTGGATACAAGCTTTTTGCGACAGGTGGGGCACTCCTTGTTCCTGGGAGAAGAGAGGCCTGTGTGCTTAGTCACCAGGGCATTGAAGCCCAGGCTGAACCAGGACCTGTGAGAGAGCCTCCACTCTGTGACCTTTCACCTCATCTGAAACATGCCCCTCTTGTTACCCGCTCCTCAGGGCTGTGACGATGCAGTCGGAGCAGAAGCGGTGGAGGCACTCCTTGGTGGTCATCGTATTCTTCAGCATGTCCAGGCAGATGGGGCACATGAGTTCTGAGTGCAGCGACCGAGGAGAAACCGCAATCTCTGTGCCATCCATGATGGCTTCCTGGAGGCATCAGTGAGTGAAAAGGAGGTGGTGGACTGGGGTGGAGGGGAGGGAGAAGAGGCTACAGATACAAGTGGTCCCTAAAATAGGAGTTCTGAGAAATACAGTGAGATGGCAGAATTTGGGTGCCCTATGTTGGCTGCTTGAAGAAGGTGGGAATTCTGAGACAGAGAGGGACTACTGCCTTGGAGAAAACGGAGAACAGAAAGGATATGCATCCATTAATCAGGAGTAGGGACTTTGGAATATGAGGATCTGAGGTTTGAGGAGCCTGGGGGTGGGGGTAGGAGAGTGGCACAGATTTACGGTTTGAGAAAGACCTACCAAAATTTCTTTGAAGTGTGGTCCTGGTACCACCAATATTAGAATCCCCTAGGGTACTAGTTAAAAATGCAGATTCTGCGGTTCCATCCCAACTACTGAATCACAATGTTTGGGGGTGAGCTCTGGGAAGCTTCCTTTTTAATAAGCTCCCAGTTGCTCAGGAGTTGACTCTGACTCCTGGTGACCCCACGTGTGTCAGAGTAGAACTATGCTCCATAGGAATTTCATTGGCGGACTCCACGTGTGTTGGAGTAGAACTGTGCTCCATAGAGTTTTCACTGGCTGCCTTTTTGGAAGCAGATCCCACGCCTTTCTTCTGAGGCTCCTCTGGGTTGACCTGAACCTCCAACTTTTGGGTTAGCAGCTGACTGCGTTAACTGTTCACGCAGTGACTCCAAACAAATTCCTAAGGTGAGCCTTATATGCACTGACCTAAGACACCGAACTGAGGAAGGAGGGAAGGTCATTTCTGTGTCTGCTTACTATCTTTCAAATACAGGTTGTAATACTTCTTCTACTTCCCCGGCTGGACTGTTTTGAGAATTAAATGAGAAAATAAATATAAACGTGCTTTAAAAAGATTAAGATGATTCAAAGGTAGGGCTAGATAGTCTGTGAAATCAGCAGGTTTGGCAGAATGGAGCAAAGAATGAAAAAGAGGCCGTGTGATGGGGGTCTGTGGAGTGAGGGGTTTGGGAGGAGGGGGCAAGCTGTAAGGGAAGATCCCTCGTCACCTGCGGGGTCCGGTGCAGCTCATATAGGCTCAGTTCCCACGTTTTGCTGGCATTCTGGGCATTCGCCGGCGTCGTCATGGTGACGAGGCACAGACCTTCCCACCAGGGCCCCGCTGCAGAGGAGGAGGAGGAGGAGGAGGAGGAGGAGGAGCAGGAGGAGGAGAGGAAGGCTGGGGGGAAAGGAGGAGGGGGTGTTAGGAGGCCGCCTCTCGCGCAGACCCCGCCCCTCCAGAGGCTCCCCCTCCGCCCCAAGCCGGCGCGGCTCCTCACCCGGCTCCAGCTGTCGGCGCCCCGGCTGCCGCAGCGCCTCTCTCTGGGCCTGGACTGCGGGCCGAGTTCGCTCAGTCTGCAGCCCCTGCTCAGACAGCAGCTCCCGCCGCCGCTGCCGCCATGGCCCGGGCGCTGGGGCCCTACGTCACTTCCGCCTGCCCCTCCACTCCCCCGACCCGGGCGGCTGAAACGTCACCCGCCGTTCGGGGCGCGGGTGGGACGCGACGTGGACGCTGGTGTTCCTCCGCCCACGAGACACTCCCGCCTCCCGGGAGGAGCCGGGGTCCCCGGAGTCCCGCACCACGTGGGGGCCACGGTCCCGCCGCTGATCCAGCACAGTCGCGCAAAGTGCCCCCAGTCTTAGCCGCGGTTCCTTTCCTGATTCCCCCACCCCGGGGCCTCCGCCCCGGAGGGCGGGGCCTGGGTAGCCCGGACCCCGGGAGGGGACGGAGGGCTCGGGAAAGGGGCCGCCTCCCCCACTCTGCGTCCCCTAGGCGGCCCCGGGGAATCCCACCCCTCCCCAATTTCTCCATAACCCCAGCCTGGGATGCTGGGGAAAACAGCTGCAAAAAATCTTTTGCCGCTTCAGCTCTCCAGTCCTGCGAGCGCAACTAAGTCCCGAGGTGTCCAGGATTCCCCTTACCACCCTAGGGACTTGCTCCACCCTTCGCTTTGGCTCTCCCTAGACCCTTCAACCCGCTCTCCCCCTCGAGGTTTGGGGGCGGCGGCTCGGGACGTCCAGACTCAACTCTCGGCCGGAGCCAAAGACTCGAGAATTGCGTTTGGACAATCAAGAGCCGCGGCCCGAGGCACGGGAGCAATGGGGCAATGCAGACACCACGCGGAAGCAGGGACACACACACGCACACGCACACGCACACACACACACACACACACACACGATGCCCCCCCCCCAAGATGGGGCCCCTATCGGGAGGGGGTGTGCGCGTGTGGTGGTGGTGGAGGGGCATAAGGGGCGGAATGTCTGCAGTGGGAAGTGAGCAGAAGCCTCCTCCAAAACTCTCAAGGAAAAGGACTGGGACGAAAGAGAGGAGGACGGGGCAGAGCAATCCCCATTGAGGGCTGGGGAAGAGGGGGATAAGGGAGAGACCTTCATGGGCCTCCTGTACCCCGCCCCAGCCTGAGCTGGAGCTCCGGACTTGGGCTGCGGCTACCGGGGGTGGCCTGTCTCTGGAATAGGGTAGCCTTGGGTCCCATCCCCCCACTTCCCAGGTTCCCCCCTACTTCCCTGTCCTCTGCTGTCCGTGGCCAGTCCTTATGTGGGCTCCAGAGTCGATTAGCGCCGACCCCCTCCCCTTCCTCCTCCTCCTTGCAGCCCCCTCCCTTCTGCTCTCCTCCAGTTCCTTTCATCGTCTGGTCCATTCCCCTAATCCTGGCCCCCTCCCCTAATCCCCCCCCATCCGACCCCAAGCCGGCTGCAGCTATTGTAAGGTGAAGAGAAAGGGGAGGGGGGGACTCAGAGAAAGGAGAAGGGTGGGGGAGGGCCACCTGTTCCAAGACCCCCTCCCAAGGCCAGACTGGACACTGGGATGGGGCCACGAACAAATCACCCTTGGGGACCGTAAGGACCCAGGGAGTTGGGGTGGGGGGCTGAGGCTGCAGGACCAGTGGAAGGGGGTGGGGCAGAGACCCCTCCCTCCAAAAAGACCCAGAGTGTCACACATACACAGTGACACACACTCTCTCCTCTCACACCCGGCGGCGGGGGTTGCCCTGGGAGACCAGGCAGTGAAAGGGAACAATCCTTCGGGAAAGGGAAAGGAGGGGGGAGGTGGGGAAGGGTCTGAGGGCTTGGGCACAAGAAAAACTGGATGTGGCAGGGAAGAGGATTTGGAATTTATTAGGGTCACAAGCACCCCTGCCTCCCATATTCAGCATTCCGGAGCCATACACTGCCACCCCTTTTGTAGCCTGGGAACTTAGAGTCCTCATCCACAAGAGGCCAGACAGGGTGGTGGGGGAGTGAGCAGAGTCCAGGGTCCTTGAGGCAGTTACATGAAAAGACCTCCTGGGAGGAAAAGAAACAGTTGGGTAGCTGAAAGAGTGGTGAGATGAATGGGCTGGGGGTGCCCACTTTTCTCCCTGGCCTGCAGGAAACTCAGCCCTTCTCCCAGTGGCTCCAGATTCTCCCAGTTTGCTTTCTCATCTCCTCTGGGTTCCACTTCTCTGCCCTTTCCCTCCCCACTCCAGCCTCATACCAGTGACTTCCACTGAGGCCCCTGTGATGTAGCCACTGTCTTCAGATGCCAAGAATGCGACCACATCTGCCACATCTATGGGAACGGTGGGGAGAGGACAGAATCCTGCTCACCCCCATGGACCCAAACAGCCATCATCTCCCACCCAAAACGCCTCCTCCCCTAACACACACACGCTCCAACCACTAATCCTGGTGAGGCCCTCTCACAGATACCACAAACCTCGGGGTCTTTTCATTCAGGCCCCTCTCCCCACTCAGTGCTCACCCTCAGGGTCCCCCATGTGTCCCATCGGGATCATTCCAGTCACCTGTAATGAAACGCTCATATGTGGATTAAAGTTTGTTTTATGGATCTTTTTGTCCACTGAGTTGAAGTCTGCGGCCCTTCTTTCTTTTGTCATTCATCCCTCTGTACATTTATTGAGCACCTACGATTTGCCAGGCTCTGTGCTCAGCATTTTCTCTCTGAAGTCCAGAGAAGTTGTGTCTGAATGATTCTGCCCACAGCCTCCTACCTTGTCCAGCACTTTCTGTGGCATTTTCTGTGTCATGGGTGTTGCAATGAACCCTGGGAGGACAGAGTTACAGCGAATCCCATGTCTGTGGAGGGAGAGTGGGTGCTGATTCTGGAGGGGACTGCACACTGATCCCCTCCCTCAGACCCCCTACATGCCTCAGCAAAGGCCCCCAGCAACCTCAGGGGTCTGACCAACCGTCCAAGCTCCCGGGCTATTGTCTGGGTCAGCCCAATCACTCCGGCCTTGGAGGCAGCATAGTTTGTTTGTCCTACATTGCCCACCTATAGGCGAGTCAGAGAGGTGAGACGAGTCATTAGTTCCAAGGATGGGGTCTCCTCTCTACACCCACTTGGCTGGCCGACCTCCTCAAATTTGCCTGACCTTTCCTACGATGCTACTGATGTTGATGATGGAGCCGTGACAACCATTGGACACCAGGGCTTGGGCTGCAGCCTGAGTAACTAGAAAAATGCCCTAACAGGGGAGGGTAACAAGGCAGAAACGATCAGCTAGGGTGACAACCCTCTTCCAACTCCCTCCCCAGGCTGGGGAGGCCAGACGTCACAGGTTCAGAGGTCACCACCTTGAGGTTGACAGCTATGACTTTGTCCCAGTCATCCTCAGACATGTGAAGCAGGAACTCATCCCGGGTGATGCCCGCACAGGACACAACGACAGATGGCGGCCGAGAAAGGCGGGCCTATGGGAGGGGGAGGTTACACACCAAAAAAACTACAAAGATCCGGGCTGTGGAGGCAGTGTCAGTACTTTAAAGAAGGCGAGGTCGCTTCGCGTTCACCTGCACTTGTTCCAGCAGGCGCCTAGCGGCCCCAGCCTCAGACACGTCCGTTTGGAAGGCAGCGTGGGCCCCGCGAGGCGCCCCCTCTTCGCTTCCCGGCCCTCCCAGCAGCCGCACTGTCTTCTCTGCCGCTGCCCCGTCTAGGTCGCAGGCGGCCACCGCTGCTCCCTCTCTGGCCAGGCGCACGCTAATCGCCCGGCCGATGCCACTGCCCGCACCTGGGATGGGAGAGAAAACGCCGGGGGCAGGGGGAAAGAAGTGGACAGAGATCAGAAGTCACCGGGCGCAATGTTAGTAAAATTTGGACAACGGACCAGAGGTCACAGCGGCCGCGTGGCCCGAGGACACGCCCCCTGACATCACTCGGGAACCCCAACCCGCCTCGGGAGAACACCCCTCAACCTGTGACCAGGGCCAGCGCGGAGCCGAGCCGGAGCTGAGACGCCATGGTGGGGTGCGGGAAAGCAGGCAATACAGCACCGAGCCAATCCCAGCGCAGAGAGGGCGTGGCGAGATCAAAGCCGGAGCCAGTAACAGCGGCGCTAGCTTTAAGCCATCTGCGGCCACCAGCGCGCGGACTTCCCACTGCTCGGGGGGCATGGCTATACTGCACCGACCACGGGTCTGGGTAGGGGGAGACAAGGACTTCTCACCCCCCAAAAAACAAAGACTGCAAGTGGGGCGGAAGATCCAAGGACTTTATTTCCGGTCACCACCCCTCCCCCTCGATTCAAACAGTGATACAAAAAATAGAAACAAAAAAATCAGGCCATGAGATTAGCAACTAACTCTCTTGCCCCCTCCCACCTACCCACCCACCCCTCCTAATCACTCCCAAATCAGGGCACACGATTGATGTTTAATTGATGTGTATCTCTGACTTCTGCTGCCTTCTCTGTCCAAGGTCTTTTCTGAAGCCTCCATCAACAGGTGGAAATAAGGGAGGTGGACCCTGGAGAAGCCTATGTGTGGCAGCTTGGTCCTCTGAGAACAGGTGGGTAGGGGACACTGGGTAGGCTGCCATCATCCTACTCCCTTCCAGCCATCTTCATAGCCCCATTTAGCCCCACAAGCCCAACAACACGGTCAGCTGGTGCCCAACACTATGGTCCCTCTGGTCTCTCATTCTCACCTGTATAGCCCCTATAAGACTGCCAAACCTTGATGGTCTTAGTGCCAAAGTCACCACTCCCGTAGGCTACAACTCTTTCCTTTGGCAGATGTCCCTGGCCAGGGCCCCCAACTTTCACAGACCGCTAATCTGGAATGAGGGGCTGGGGGCTTCAGGCAGGGGTGGGGATGATTTATCCCACCTCTCACTCGAGGTGGGCAATCAGAACCATCATGACAACTCCCCCTAGCAGCCCCAGCACCTCCAGAAGTGACTGCAGTGGTGATGCCTCCCTCAACAGCTCAGGCAACACAGACACAGTTGCCACATAGATGAAGCCACCTGCAGTGAATGGCAGCACCCAGCCAGGACCTGTACTGCCTGAGACTTCACTGCCCATTGCTCCTCCTTCAGTTAGAAGGGCACAGGCTGTGCCTGCCAGTGCCCCTATTGCTGTCACCAGCTGTAGACGCATCGCCTGATGGGTAGAAAAGAGACAGGCATTAGCCAACAGTGAAAGAACATCAGTGCTTTAGCCGTGGTTGGTGGGGTATGGGTATACGTGGGTACGGTCTATGTCCTTGGAAACTAAGGCAAAAAGAGGGTGGTTTAGAATAGACATTTTCTGGAAAATCTTGGAGATCAGAGGTTAGAACAGTGATTCTTTCCACAGACATTCCAATTCAGTAGATCAGGGTAGTGAGATGGGGTGAACATAAAGCATTCAGTTTATGGACTACATTTTAAGAAATACTGAGCTATAGGACAAAGAAACAGAATTTCTTCTCCCTCGTTTCTAGAAGATTCATTGTCAATGATAGTACAACTTGTCTGAAACTAATGAGAGGCAGTCTTGAGTTTGGGGTGGGTAAGCAGGGATACAGGGCTTCAGACAATCACGTTTGGTGCCAATCAACACCAACCTGCTTTTTGCTGCAGCCAGACTGGACCAAGATGGCAAAGTCCCCAACTTCATGGGGCACTTCATGTAGTAAGACAGTCATTGTGGTCAGGATTCCCAGCCCCCGGCCTCCTCGAAATGAAGCACCGATCGCCAGACCATCCGTGAAGTTGTGTGCCAGGTCAGCAGCCAGATTCAGATATCCAGACACACGCAGGTCTTGGACAACAGAAGAGGAAGACGGAACCGTCAGAGGCATCCACCATCCTCAGTCCCAGCCATGGTCGGCCATTCTCACATGCCCTCTAAAAGACCACTTAATACCCAGGCCCTCAGTGTTTCTCAAACACCTGCTGTTAAACATAATACATATCCCATTTGCACTGATTCACAATGATGCCCATTGCCCCAGCTGATGCCCTGACCCTCACCTGAGCCTGCTGTTTCCTCTTCAGGGTTCTGTAGTCTGACTGGCCCATCTTTGGGCCCTGTGCTTCCTCCTTTCTTCTTCCGTGCCCCCCCTGTGTCCTTTTCTTCTTCCTGTGAATTCTGCTTCTCCTTTGAAGAATACTCTGAGGGAATAAAGTGGTTGGTAAGAATAGGGAACAGGAATCTCCTGACACATTGTCAAGAGAAAAGCCCCTCCCCCACCTAACAGCCATAAGACAAGGAGATACTGATGCAGGCAAGATGGCTCTCAGGAAAGTTTTTCTTGGGCTTACCCTGTCTTCCACGTACGTGACTTCCATGTGTGTGACCATGAGTGTGTCCATGTCCATGTCCTCCTTTCACATGTCTTACAAATTTCTCCACCACAAGAAAGGCGACAATTCCACTGAGGACCCACAGTCCCACAGACAGAATGGGGCCCTGGCCTACGAATGGAATCATTGAGACATTAAAGGAAAATACAAGGTTCAGATTCTTCCTCCTCAAGTACAGGAGGTGAAGATTAGGAAGGGACAAACCTTTCCCAGCCATCTCCCAACTCCATCCTTGTTTGCCCTTTCCTCACCACTGTGGGAGTGTCCATGTCCTGGCTGTTCCATGGCGTGGTGAGAATGAGGCTCTGGAGGAAAGAGGAAAAAAGCCAGATGAGGTAACAACCGACCCAAGAGGGTGTGTAGTTGGAGAATATTAGAAAAGTCAGAGATCACAGAGAGGAAATAACCCTTTTGCCCAAAGAGTGAACTATATTATGATTTGAGGTAGAAATCAGAGATCACTTACCCAGGGCATGAGGGATGAGGTGTAGAAAGGCATCTCCCAGAAGCCCCCCTGAAGCAAAGCTGAGCAAGATTTGGAGCAGAGAACGATGCCTGGGGGAGTTTGACTCCACAGGGATAAGGAAGAGGACGAAAAATGGAGCTGCAGAGATCAGCACTGTGGCCCCAAGTGCCTGGTGAGGGAGAGGCAGGGGTCAAATGGTGCGCGATTTCCTAACAATCCAGAACCGATCCCTCTCTCCCCCATCCCCTGGGGACTCACATAGGCCCAGAGAGTGACAGTGTCCAGGTCCTGCTTGATGCCTGGAGCCCCAGACTCCCCATAGCCTCCATGGCTATGCTCACGGTCATGTCCATGTCCTCTGTGGTAGAGGCTCTCATGGGAGTGGCCATGGCTATGGCCATGGTGCAAATCCTCATGTGAACGTCCATGGTCGTGACCGTGGGTATGCCCATGCCAGATGCTCTCGTGAGTGTGGCCATGGCCGTGGGCATGGCTGTGTCCATGGTGGAAATCCTCATGTGAATCCCCGTGGCTGTGCCCATGGAAGTCCTCGTGCAGGTCGTCGTGCAGGTCGCCATGACCCCCGTGTCCGGCCACCAGCAGCCTCAAGGCTGCCCAGGTCAGCAGTCCCACGGCCACCCAGTGGGGGGCCCCCAAGCTTCTGGCCATCATGCTGACCAGAGGGACAGAGACAGTAACTTCACTTGACTGTCAACTCTTTACCTACGCGGGATCCGCTTTACTCCGCTCGGACCCTGCGTACACTTCTAAGGACCATTTCATTCCATTCTGTCCCCACCCACATTGTTCCCAAGACTCCTTCTCTTTATGCCGAGCCCCCTCCCGGATGTAGGGCCCCTGGGACGCCGCTCTAGGCTTTGATCAGCCACATTATGGACTCTCTGGGCCCTCGTCTCTATGATCTACTAGGCGGGGAAAAAGGCCCCGAAAGAACGGTAGGGAAAAAGCAGGGAATTCTCACCGGCTCCGGGATCCTCTCCTTTCCCGGTTTGCTTGGACGTGGCACTCCCGCCTTTAGCTCCCGCGAGAACAGGAAATTCCGTTCTACCTACGTCCCAATACCTTTACCAAGATGACGGCACTCCCGTAGCGGCGAAGCCACCCCGCCCTGGTGAGCATGCGCGAGTGTGGAGGTTATTTGAGGAGAGGCTGGCAAGGCTGGCTAACAGGACTGAGGAGACCGCCTCCTCCGTTTCCAACTAGACGAGGGGGCAGGAACTAGCGCAGAGACTTCCCGTCTATACCAAGATGGCTGCCAGATCGGCGCTGTCATTTTGGTACAGAGCAGAGCGAAGCGCTTAATTCGACCCGGTCAGGCCGAGAGTCTTTTTCTCTGGGCCTTCTCGTGCTCGCTAGTCCCCCGATCAATCCTTGGGAATTCCTGGCGCCTCTCCGGTATCCCTGTACTCAACCAGGAATCATGTCTTGGGCTGCTCGCCCGCCCTTCCTCCCCCAGCGGCATGCCGCAGGGCAGTGTGGGCCGGTGGGGGTGCGAAAAGAGATGCATTGTGGGGTCGCGTCCCGGTGGCGGCGGCGACGGCCCTGGCTGGATCCCGCGGCGGCGGCGGCGGCGGCGGCAGCCGGAGAACAACAAACCCCGGAGCCGGAACCGGGGGAGGCTGGACGGGACGGGATGGGCGACAGCGGGCGGGGTGAGTGTCCTAGCGGGCGGGTGGGCAGGCGAGCGAGTGGCCGCGTTATCTGCAACCCCTCCCCCCACACCCGTCCCCGGCGCTCTTTCCCTTGCGCTCCCGCCCCCTTGTTTGTAAACACGCGTCCTCTCTCTCCCGAGGGCCTTAGCGCCCTCCCCCCCGGGGCGGGGCGCGGCGGGGGAGCTTCCGCCCTCCTAGCCTTGTCGGTTTGAGGCCCTGCAGTTTGGAAGTCCCTGGTGTAGGAAGGATGCGGAATCCCCACAAGTTTGAGGGTTCTGGACGTGTGAAGGCGGTTCCCGTGTGTTGGGAGGGGTCTCTTCCGCCTTTCTTCTTCACCTGCACGATCTGGCTACTGGCTATAAAATGGGAACGGAGGGGCTGGTTGTTCCACCCCACGTGCTGCCCTACCCACAAGAGACAGTCTAGCTTGGGGTGACCCGGTAGTCACCCAAATGCCTTGTTTGGAATTTTGCCTCACCTAAGTTATGCTCATCTCCTTTGTCAACTTTCCCCCACCACAATTAGGAGTTAAAGTGTTTGACAGCAGGGTGTCTCTGGACTTGGTGATTAGTGGGACTGGGTGGAACGGGGTGCAGCAGGGGATTAGAGAATTAAAGCTTCCAGTTGGATGAACAAAGACTCATTTTTTCTTTTTGTCTCTTCTGTCTCTGTGCGTCTTTGCCTGTATGTACTCCTTCCTCAGACTCTCGAAGCCCAGACAGCTCCTCCCCAAATCCCCTTTCCCACGGAGCCCCTCCCCCTTCTCCTCCTGGGCCACCCCTGCCCCCTTCAGCAGCCGCATCCCTTGGAGGCACTGGGGCTCCGCCCCCACCCCCACTGCCACCACCTCCACTGGGCTCCCCCTTCCCGGTCATCAGCTCTTCCATGGGGTCCCCTGGTCTGCCCCCTCCAGCTCCCCCAGGATTCTCCGGGCCTGTCAGCAGCCCCCAGGTGAGAGGTCATGACCTGCTTACTGCCTCTCTACTTTCATATTCTTGTGATCTCTGATTATTGTGTGAACTTTCTATGGCCCACTGACCTTCTAGTTCTCTAATCCTCCTAGGTCTGTGGTTCTTGTGAGACCCCCCCCCCTTCCCCTTCCTGAGGTGACAGATCTTTCAGTGCATGCTTCCTCCCCAGCCCTGTAAGAGGACCCTGGCATTCTTGATATCCCTTTCATCTGTCAGTGATTTTCTGCCCTCTTAGTCCTGTCCTTCCAAGATATGTATCCCTCAGGGCCACTGTGTTGCACAGTTTTAGGGAACACTGTTTATGTCTATTCTCTTTGGGATTGTGCTCCAAGAGTGACCCTCCCATAGACCGCAGTGTAAACAGTGCCCTCTGGAATGTGCAGTGCAGGCCCTACCCATCACCTATGAAAGTCTCCTTCCCAATGAGTTTCCCTGTGACTTCCCTATTTCCCTCATCCCAGATTAACTCAACAGTGTCGCTCCCTGGGGGTGGGTCTGGCCCCCCTGAAGATGTGAAGCCACCAGTCTTAGGGGTTCGGGGCCTGCACTGTCCACCCCCTCCAGGTGGCCCTGGGGCTGGCAAACGTCTGTGTGCAATCTGCGGGGACAGAAGCTCAGGTATGGGGCTCAGAGGACCAGCAGAGAGAAGGAAAGAGAGAGTCTGGGCCACTTCCCATCGCCTGTGGGATTCCCAGGGGCTATGAGATCAGGTCGGAGTAAGTGAGCTGAGGAAGGCCTGGTGAGAGCTAAAGAACCTGAAGCTAAAATGTGGGATGGGGCGTGGGAGGGAAGAGAGCTAGGACAGGGTTTCTGAGCAGTGAGGGAGAATGGAACTGGATCATCCCTCACCTGGTTCCCCATCTCTGTTTGGCAAATATAGGGTGGACTTAAACTAAGCTTTGCCTGGGGAGGTTGGCAAGAGATCTGAAGATGAGATGTTCTCCATGCAGTGTTCTTATTGCTATCTCCCTCTCCCCGGTAGGCAAACACTATGGGGTGTACAGCTGTGAGGGTTGCAAGGGCTTCTTCAAGCGCACCATCCGTAAGGACCTGACCTACTCGTGCCGGGACAACAAGGACTGCACAGTGGACAAGCGCCAGCGGAACCGCTGTCAGTACTGCCGCTATCAGAAGTGCCTGGCCACAGGCATGAAGAGGGAGGGTAAGGGGCTGACCCCATCCAGGCTTCCCAGCCCATAGGCCCTTACTTTCTCACCCCACCCTGTGGGAGAGGAGGAGGTAGAGGGAAGATTGAAGAAAACCACAGACCATTTACCTCTCGGGAAGGCTGGACTGTTCTCTCTCTCCTCCAGAGGGCGATATTTGATTTCTTGCTCCCCTCCTCATGAGCTCTTCTCCCTGGTACCTTGATCTGGTCTCTCTAGTTTCCTTCTTAATGGTTCTGCCTCCCTGGCCAGTTCCTGTGACCCCTCCCTACTTTGGTCCTATGGTGGGATAAGTCTTCTTTTCCTATGATGGGACTCTTTCTCTTCCTTCCTCTAACCAGAATAGTCTCTTCACTTTTTGATCTGTGCTCCCTCTCTGGTCTCTGTCTCCCTGTTACCTACAGTCTCTCCTCTAATCTCTGGGCCTCTATCCTCTTAGGCTACAGACATTACTGAAGATCCTCGGGGCTTGCTTTTCCTGTGTCTTGTCTTCTAAAGTCTGACTCATGGAATTCTAAAAGAGATACTTTAGAGAGTGTCTTTTTCAAATATCATATTAGAGAAGATAAGCATGAGGCCTGGCAGGTAAAGTGACTTTCCCAAGGCCACGCAACAAAAGAGTGGCAGGGCTGGGATCAGAGTTCACATCTCTGAAAGGCCAGGCCAGCACTCCTTTTACGGCCTCTTGAGTCAGAAGAGCATAAGATTTGTAGTCAAGCAGACTTACGTGAACTTGGGCAAGTTATTTAACTTCTCCAAGCCCCAGATTCTTCATCTTTAAAATGGGAGCAATAGTTCACAGGGTCGGTGTAATGATTGAGCGAATATTAGAAGTGCTTGGCCCATTTCTGAGCACGTTGATAGGCTCTTCGTTTAAATGCTCGCTTTACTTTTCTCCCTAATTCCTTTACTCTCCTCTCCTTTTCTTTTCTTGACTCGTTTATCTCCCCTTGCTTCCAGACTGTCCCCAGTCCACCATTTCTAGTGACTTCCCCAATTTCTGTAAATATCTCCTAAAGACTATAAGACCGTGATAAGGTCCTAAAGGACATTTTTAAACCCTCATGACTGGCTGCTGACTGTCCACTTTTTCTTCCTCCCTCTCAGCGGTACAGGAGGAGCGTCAGCGGGGGAAAGACAAGGATGGGGATGGGGAGGGGGCTGGGGGAGCCCCTGAGGAGATGCCTGTGGACAGGATCCTGGAAGCAGAGCTTGCCGTGGAACAGAAGAGTGACCAGGGCGTCGAGGGTCCTGGGGGAACCGGGGGTAGCGGCAGCAGCGTGAGTGATGGGGTCAATTCACTCTCCTTCCTGATGGGGGAGGTTTGGGGAGGGAGTTTAGGTCTTTTCTATCACCCCTGCTCCTTTTCCACCTCCTCCCTCTCCCTCGCAACCCTCCTAACTCTGCCTGGGACTGGAAGTGTTGCCAGACATCTGAGGTGGGTGTGATAGCTCCCTCTGTCCTACCCCCAAAACAACCAACTGGCAGAACCACAGGCAAGTCCCAAATAAATGATTGCTTACATGAATACTGGAAGAGAAGCTCAGTTCACAGGGATTGGTTCAGATGAGACTTAAAGGAAGACTGCTGTATAAGGAGGGGATGTCAGAATGCTCTTACATTGGTGGCTCTCTGTGTATCTCCAAATCTTCCATAACTCTTATCGTCCTGTCTCCTGTAGCCGAATGACCCTGTGACTAACATCTGTCAGGCAGCTGACAAACAGCTCTTCACGCTCGTTGAGTGGGCGAAGAGGATTCCCCACTTTTCCTCCTTGCCTCTGGATGACCAGGTCATTTTGCTACGGGCAGGTCAGTGACCTTGGATCCCTTTGACTTCTTGACACTTGCCACCTCCTTGACGTCCTGATTGTCAGTGACCCCAGTGGCCTTACCTTGTATACTCAGGGAGCCCTGCTGATTGACCTTGCCACCTCTTCTCATCTTCTCTTCCACTGATCTGTTTTGAATTTCATGGCCTGATCTCTGGCTCCTGCCCCTTGCTGCCCCTCACCCAGGGTGGAATGAGCTCCTCATTGCCTCCTTCTCGCACCGATCCATTGATGTCCGAGATGGCATCCTCCTCGCCACAGGTCTTCACGTGCATCGCAACTCGGCCCATTCCGCAGGCGTAGGAGCCATCTTTGATCGGTCAGTGGCCCTCGGCTGGGCTGGCCTGGCCTGAGGGAAGAAGGGGTGTGGCTATAGGCTGGTCCGTGTCCAAGGCTGGCTGAGCTGTGACCTTTGAGTGACCTGCAGGTCCCTCTCCAGGGTGCTGACAGAGCTAGTGTCCAAAATGCGTGACATGAGGATGGACAAGACAGAGCTTGGCTGCCTGAGGGCAATCATTCTGTTCAATCCAGGTAAGAGGAAGATTACCCCTGTCTTTCAAGATCAAAGCAACCTTGGAGCCTCCTCTTCTCCAGAGACTCCTAAATTACCCAGCTATCCCCCCCTCAGTAAGACCCTCAACCTGGAAATCTCCCCACTGACCATGAAAAGTGTACATCCACTGATCCATTCCTTTCCAGCCCCATTCCACAAACCCAATGGGCCCCCTTCTGTTGAGCATCTAAGAGACTTGAAGCCCTGCTTCCTTTGACAAGCATCTGGTGAAGGGCAAGTAGGTGGGGCCCAGAAGAGGAGATCTGTTGGTCACATATACGTGTCTGACCTGATTTGATTTGTCTTCCTCCTTCCTCCTCTCTTCGCTGCCATCCCAGATGCCAAGGGCCTCTCCAACCCCAGCGAGGTGGAGGTCCTGCGGGAGAAAGTGTATGCATCACTGGAGACGTACTGCAAACAGAAGTACCCTGAGCAGCAGGGACGGTGAGATGGGGCTGTAGGGCTGAGGGATTGTGGGAACTGAGGCTCCCATGGAGTTGGGGTTACCATGATGGTGTATTCAGGGCCCATGGGGTTCCAGCTCTCATCCCCTTCTCCCACCCCCACCTCAGGTTTGCCAAGCTGCTGCTACGTCTTCCTGCTCTACGGTCCATCGGCCTCAAGTGTCTAGAGCATCTGTTTTTCTTCAAGCTCATTGGTGATACCCCCATTGACACCTTCCTCATGGAGATGCTTGAGGCTCCGCACCAACTGGCCTGAGCCTGAACCTAGATGTGGTGCTCTTCACGCTTGAGGAGTGTACATCTCAGAGAGACTCCAAGACCTGGGGCAGGGTGGGAGGGGCCAAGTTCCCAGACCCTTGGTAGGGTGAGGAGTGCAGGGCCAGAGCTGAGACCTTCAAGGGGGTCCATAACCACCACCACCCCCTGCCAGCCCAGGAGTTTTCTTAATATCTCAAGTCAGAGGGGACTCCCATCTCCCTGCAGTGGCCTTGAGTCTCTGGATTTGTCGAGGTCTCCCATCATTTGGGGTGATTTCCCACCACCTGCCTGGAATGGTCTCCTTTCCCCAGCACAAAGCACTGGCTCTGCTCCCAGGATTTTGCTCCCTTTCTCATCTTGCCTCATTTATTTCCTCATTAGAAGAGTGGAAATGGGGAGCTCCCCCAGAGATGGATGTTGGGGGGCAGGCCCCCCAAACAGATGGACATGAGAGTGGGACTCTGACAGGCCTTCCTCTTCCCAAGCCTGGCAGCTGGGGTCACTTTGGAAGAGGGAGGGGGTCCTGTGACTGACTCCTGTCTAGAGTCTCGTTTTGTTCTCACCTCTTGCAGTCAGACTGAAAAATAAGGTGGTGGTGGTTAAGAGCCCCTGGGGATGTAGGAGGCAACTTAACTATTTTTAATTTCCTGTGAGGATAGAGACTTGCAGTTAGACTCAAAGAAGTACTGTACTTCCTCAGTTTGACTAAGAAATGCCGGTCGGTGGGTTGAGGTGGGTGTTTGGGAAAGGCAGGGCCCTGAGATGGTCTGTCCCTGGGGCTCTCCAAGCACTGGCCTTCCCAACCATGCCTACCCCCCACCCCCCATCCCTTCCTAACTCAGGAGAAGGGGCCTGGGCTGCAATGGCCTTAGATGGGGCAGGGAGGGCAGGGGACTGTTTGGTGAGTGTAATCCTCAGGCCTTTCCCTTCACAGCTACCCCCAGCCCTGGTCACACGGTGTAGGATGGGGACACAGGACCCTGGTCTGAGAGTTGAGGAGAGGTGGTCAGCCTATGGAGATGGGGTGCTGGGGCTGCATGATTTTTGCCCTGCAGCTCTTCTCTTTGGGTTTCCTTTCTCCTCTCACTCACACATAAAATCGCTTTCAAATTAAAATCGCTGCTTTTCTGGACCGCGGTGACTGTGTATGGGGGTGGGGCGCAGCACCGCATTGGCCTGGGTGTGGGGGGGTATCCGGTAGGGAGCTCCGGATGCGTTCTCCTGACGCTGCCGCCGAGGTTCCCTGGGGCCCGAGAGGCAGGCACAGGGTGGGGGAGACAAGGCGCGC